TTGTCTTTTTGGTTAGAAACCTTCCTCAATTATTTGGGTGTCATTAGCTATTCATATTAAAGAAGGAGGTACTAGGAGTTAGGGTGTGATTCAGCGGTGGAGCACCTGCTCAGCATACATGAGACCATGGGTTCAACCCTTAACTTTGGGTCCTTTTTTTTCTTTCTTTCTTTTTTTTGTCTTTGAGACAGGGTCTCCCTGTAGCCCCAGCTGACATGGAACTCGCTATGAAGACCAGGTTGGCCTTGAACTCACAGAGACCTGCCTGCCTCTGCCTCTAAAGGAGGCAGGGACTAAAGGTGTGAGCCACCATGCCAGGTTTAACTTTGGGTCTTTTGTGTCAGTGTCTCTGTGGAAAGATTCCTGGGGTAGGAACCTGGCTGTCTGGACTCCTTTGGCCATGGATAAATGAATTATGGAGCCTCAAAAGGAAGTGTTTAGTAAAATTCCCCCAGGGCTGGAGATCTGAATTGTAGAGGCTCTATTGTTTCTAGCATTCATGGATAGAGGAGTCAAAGGGGCCCTCCCTGGAAGCCCAGTGCAGTGCCACGTATTCTTTCATTGTTTCTTGAGCCCCAAAAGATGTCCCATAGGGCTCTAGGGTGGCTGCAGCTGTCCTAACCCTGTGAGCATCCATTCATGTCTTCATGTGACCTCACTAGTTGATCTGGTTTTCTTCCAGGAGCCTCTCTGGATTGTGCTGGGGGTGAGGGGATAGGGCAGAAAACAAAAAGATTAGCTAGCTCTATGCTCGCGTTATGCCACTCCTGGATTTTTACCCAAAGGACTTCATGTCAACACATCACAGCAGTATTCACAAATAGCTAAGTTATGGAACCAACCTAGGTGTCCAGCAACAGAGGAATGTATTAAAAAGTGAGGTATTTGTCCACAATGGATTTTTTTCATCCATAAAGAAGAGCAAAGTTATGTCATTTGTGGGAAAGTGGGTGGGACTGGGGATCATCATATTAATCAAATTAAACCAATTGCAGAAAGATAAACAGATGTTTTCTCTCCCTGTTTCTAGATTTTGTATAGACACATGAAATCACGCAGGTATGACATGGAAGTAGAAGCAACACTGTCTGGGGGACAAAGGGCACGGTTGGGAGAGGGTGTTGTGCCCAGAGAATGGATCCCCAAGAATTACCACGGAGTCCAGAGAGCATGCAAGAACAAAGTCTTTATTCTGGCTTAAGCTCCGACTCAGACCAAACTAATGTGGTAGGCCCATCTGAAAGCCCCAATTGTAGGGGGAGGGAGCTGTTTATAGGTTTCAGACAAAGGGAGGAGGGGAATGACAGAGTTATATTTTGATTGGTCCAAAGAGCCCACACATGCCAACATACTTTTGAATTGATTGGTTACAGTCTTGGAGGCTTCTCATTGGTGGGTGCTGCCCTCAGGGCTGTGGAATGTGCTGACTGTTATCTCCAGGGCTAGAGGACCCTGTTCCTTATAAGGCCTCAAACCTGCCTGGGCCCCCTTTACATGACTGGGCTTGTCTAAACTATAACCACAGCCCTTGCTTCTAACTCATAACAGCCTGAGACATTGTAAAATGGAGGGGCTGCCAGAATGGAGTCGGTGCAGTTTGTCCCTTTGGTTCTTCTAAGCCAAGCAATTTACAGAAGTGAAAAGAGCCATTAGTCCTAAAGGGCAGGGGTCCAGGGACACAGAGGAGGGCCTAAGGAGAAGGGCTTAACAAGGGAAGTAGTGAAAAGGGGGGTAGAGGAAGGAACTCTACTCAGTGTACAATATATACTAGCAAGCCAGGCATGTTAGTGCACACCTTTAATCCCAGCTCTTGGGAGGCAGAGGCAGGCGGGTCTTTATGAGTTCAAGGCCTGCCTGGTTTACATAACAAGTTCCAGGCCAGCTGAACTACAGGGAGACCCTGTCTCAAAAAGGCCCCTCCCAGAAAAAAGAAAAAAAAGAAAAAATCATCAAAAAAACCTAATGTATACTAGCATGAAAACATCCTTATGTATCACAGTACCATCGGCAATGACTACATGCAATGAATTTTTTTGAAACGGTATCTCTGTAGCTCCAGGTGGCCTGGAACTTACTATATAGACCAGGCTAGTTTTTTGGCCTGTCTCTGTGTTCTAGTTTCTTTTGAATTGCTGTGACAGAATACTCTGACCAATACCAACTTGGAGAGGAAAGGGTTTATTTGGCTTACATCTCCCGGGTCACAGTTCATCACTAAGGGAGCCCAAAATAGGAACTCAGGGCAGGAACCCAGAGGCAGGGGCTGGAGTACAGGCCACAGAATTACTTAAAAGGAATGCCTCTTACTGGCCCATTCTCATTCTGCTTTCTTATACAACACACAACAACCTGCCCAAGGGCAGTACCACCTACAGTGGGCCGGGCCCTCCTACATCACCCAAAAATCAAGAAAACACCCCCACAAACATGGCCACAGGCCAGTCCAATGGAGCCAATTCTCCAGTTGAGTCTCCCTCTACCCAGGTGTGTCAAGTTGACACCTAAATCTATACAGCACACTCTGCTTTCAAATGCTGGGACTAAAGGCATGTGTCATTGAGCCTAGCTACAACGAAAAAAAAAACTTTTTTTTAATCTTCATCAAGTTAAATCAAATGGATCCTATAAGAAATACTTAATTCTTTTTTAAAAAAGAAAAGAGATTCATGTGCCCCCATGCCTTCTATGGCTCCTCCTAAGGAGCTTTTAGGTGAATAGTGAGGGCCTTAGGTGATTTTAGAGCTTGGGAAAACTGGCTTCTCAGGTTCCCACAGTGATCTGCACAGTCAGAAGTACTCCTCAAACATTAAAGGACATTGTTAACAGAAAAACAGGCAACCCAGTCAGGTATGGTGCCATGAGCTTTTAATTTCAGCACTCAGGTAGCACTCATGACTGAATCAGGAGGATTGTGAGGTTATGGCCAGCCTGGGGTATATAGTTACACTCTGCTTCAAAATCTGGATAAAGGAAAAAGGAAAGAAAGAAGAAAAGGATGGAGAGAGGGAGGGAATAGGATGGAGGAAAGGAAAGAAGGGCTACGTACAGAATATCTGCAAATCATGTATCTGAGAAAGATTAATATCCAGAATATATCAAAAATTCCTACAATTCAGAAACAATCCAAACAACAACCTGATTCAAGAAGCAGGTAAAGGACTTGAATAGACATTTCTCCAAAACAGATGTACTAGTGGCCAATAAGCACAGGGAACAATTCTCAACACAGCTAGTCATTAGGGGAACTCAACCCCCCAGATAAACTCATTAGGATGGCTATTGTCAAAAACCAGAAAACATTTAAGTGTTGGCAAAGAAGATAGGAAATAGGCATCCTGTGCACTGTTCTCTGGACAGAATACACAATGCTGTGGCTACTATTGGCATGGCAGTTCCTAGAAAATTTAAACATAAAATTATCATGTGATCTAGCAATTCCCGAGTTTTTACCTAAAATAGTTGAAAACAAGACCTTCAAGAAATATTTATACATTAGTAATATTTGCTTAATTTGTATATTTCTTAATTATGTATTTATTATATCATTCGACACATTATGTATCTACTACATTCACTTAGAGTATCTGCTTTTGGACAGTGGTACTAAATATTTAGGTAGAAAGCCTGAGCTGAGGCAGAAGATCAAGATTTTGGGGTCAAGATTGGATTTTTTTTCAGTCTGTACTATCTGTCTTCCAGGCACCTAAATCGGAAACTTCAATAGGCGGTTGTGAATATGATTTTGGGTAGAGATAAAAATCTGAGATAGATAAGATTAAGAACCAGCTTCTGGGGCTGGAGAGATGACTCAGAGTTTAAGAGCAAGGGCTGATCTTACAGAGGACCCGGGTTCGTAACGCAACACCCATGTCAGGTGTCTCACAACCATCTGTAATTCCAGCTACAATGGAACCGACGCCCTCTTCTGAACTCCACGGGTACCTGCACGCAGATGGCATTCACTCGCACAGATACACAAATAAAAATAATAAAAACAAATCTTAATAAGATTTGATCCTTCTGGGGTGGGAGAAATATGGGGCAATAGGGCGGGAGCATCCATAAGGTCCAAGCAGCGGGGAATTCCCTGAGGAGGGAGGGGGAAGCTTTGTGTGATGGTTGTTAATAAGCGCAAGTAGGTGATTGTTAATAAGAGCATGTAGGTGGAAAGAAGTATGTCCGAGAAGTTCCTGTTTAAAAAAAAGCCCACTTATGAGGAATATAACTCAAAGTCCGCCAAGAAAATTTTGGACCTCCTAAATCCAAAGGACAGAAATAGCTTTTGTTGCTTGTTTTGTTTTTCTGAGGCCTGCTCTCACTCTGTAGCCCAGGCTGGCCCCATAACTTTCACCTCACCCTCAGGCGTGCTGGGACTGCAGGCATGTGCCACCATGCCTGCTTCAGTTATTTTGCAAATCACTGAAGTCAGGTTTGTGTCTAAAAACGTGCAAGTGTCCCTTTGCTTTCGTCCAATCTCCCAAAGCAGTCCATTTCTTAGTCTTTCCTGACAAAACAAGAACTCAAACCTTGCTCATTAGTGAACAAATCTCCTCCCCTGATGGTTGACATCAGGGCAAAATCCTATCTTCCCTGAGTGGCAAAACCTGGAGGGAAGGGCTGTCGGCTTCGCCAATGGACGCAGCAGGAGCAAATCCTGCGTAAACAAAACCGGGAGGGGTCCCGCACCCGCGCCTCCTCCACGTGGGGGGCGACGCTGCTTGGCCGAAGACTGCCCAGAATAAGCGTGTCCGGTCAGCCAATCAGGGCCGGGGTGTCCTGCGAGGAGGTGTTTCCCCCTCCCCCAACCCGTGGCTATCCCTAGGGGAACGAATGGACAGCCGTTAAGATCAATCACAAGCCGGAGCTTCAGACGGGGTAGGCGGGCCCTGCTTCACATTTAGACCAATAAGAACCGTATAGGCAGGCGTAGGGCGCGAACGTCATCCTTTACTGTCCAATAGGTGGACGGGGCGGTGCCGCAGCCTAGGGCCGGCGCCCGGGGGGCGGGGCGAGGCGTGAGCGTCGGAGGTAACCCGAGTGTAGGTGCGGTGGTGCGCTGGGCTCCCGCTTTCAAGGCTGCCTCTGCGCAGTGGTGATCTCGTGGCCGGCGGTGTCCGCGCGACCAGGTGGGCTCGGCGGCCAGGGAGGGAGCGAGGACGGGGACGGGTCCCGGAGGGCCACCGTGGACTCAGGTCGCGGGGCCCTCTCCCCGCGGAGCTCCCGGCGGGTCCGACGCTCGGGCTCTGGGTGAGGAGCACTGCTGGGCGGCAGCCTTGGGGCCCGGGTCTGACCCTCTCCTCTGCCTCACATTTTCCGTGCATGAGTGACCTGCAGTCCACGGTTGCTTATCCGCCCTGCCTTCCGCGAGCCCCACCTACCCCCGAATTTCAGCCTCCTCTTTCCTGGACGCTAACATTTTCCGCTTTGCATCTTGCTGGCACTTAGAGGGTGAAGGCAAGGGAGAGAGACGAGGGCGCTGTCCTGGGCTCTGCAAGGTTGGGAACTTGAATCAGCTTGCTTAAACTATTTCTGCCTCCTTTAACATGCCAGTTGAGCACTCTAAAAGAATCTTCGTCTCAATAAAGTGCTTGTGATGAAAGCTGGTGAAAAAGCATGTGAAAAGGCCTACCAGCAGCAGCCGATTTGAAATTTATTAAGTAGATGGAAATGGATTTTATTTTAAAGAACCCAACTAAAGTGTGAGTGTAAACACTCGTAAGGAACGGCCTGGTCACCCTGGATGGCCTTAGGATACAGGGCATACTTTAATTATACAGCCTGCTTTGATTATCACACTCAGTACCTCCGAATTACAGCAATTTTAAGACAACCTTCAGCGTTTTCTTTTTACCTTCATGGTGTAGCAAGTGCTTGGCTCCCAGTACTGTTGGTTTTACCCATATGTTTCTAGATAAGCTTTAACACTTAGGCCAGGAATTTACAGTCAAGAATAGTGAAAGACTAGAGCACCACTCAGTTTTGATGGAGATTTTAGAGGTTTGAGAATAGTGTACAGTGAGGGTTTTATTTTGGAAGTTGGAGGAAATTGAGTATTGGAATAAGACTGGTAGGTACCATAGAGAGAGAATATACAGGTGTCCAAAATGTACATTAATCTCATAGTGTCATTGTTATTTTATATCTGGAATTGTTTTTCCTAGTTCTCAGAGGAGAAATATAAGCTGTGAATTTAACACATTCATTGTGTTTTGGCTAGAAGTTAGTAAACTTTGTGAAAAGGCTTTCTTTTTCCTTCCTTACTTGTAGTATACACCAGTGTAGTGTACTTTCTTGTGTTTTGTTGTGGTAAGATTCGTATTCATTCTCTCTCTCTCTCTCTCTCTCTCTCTCTCTCTCTCTCTCTCTCTCTCTGTGTGTGTGTGTGTGTGTGTCTGTCTGTCTGTCTGTCTGTCTGTCTGTTAGAGAGAATTCAGAGCAGATTTTACTCTGAGGTGACATTGTCAAAAAGGCTAAATGTTTGATCTTTATTAGTAAATCACATTAGAGAGAGCAAGATCTTAAAACTGTTCTAACAAATGCCCAGGTTATCTAGAATAAAAGAAAAAAAGAATTTTCCAGTTATAGGAGTTGTCAAAATCATAGGTAAACTGCAGAGCTCTAGGTTGGTCACTATTATGAATTGGTATAAGTTTGCAGTTGAAAATCAAAGTTATGTATTGTGTCTTTATTTTTTGGTTTTTTGAGACAGGGCCTCCCTGTAACCCCAGCTGACTTAAACTCTCTGTATAGACCAGGCTGGCCTGGATCTCACAGAGATAAACCTGCCTCTGCCTCCCTAGCCCTGGGATTAAGGGCATGTGCCACCATGCCTGGCTTGTCTTTAGACAAATTTGTGCTTAACGGTTTCTTGTTTGTAGGTTTAGAACATGGTAGCTGTGCTTTCTTCTCAGAGATCTTGGTTTGAACTCACACTTGAGGAAAGACCGATAATTCAAGGGTTAAATGTACAGAGGATTCTGCACCTTAGAGTGTGGATAGTGCAGAGAAACCCTGTTGTCTTGTGTTCTGGCCTCATCTCCCACTGCTCTAGACTTCCCAAAGTGTGTTTTCTGTCTTACATAAATTATAATCTTAAATCTTGAAAAGCATTTATCCTGGTAGACTTTGTTCCCTTTATTTTACACAACAGAAAATGACATTCAGAAGTGTTGTTTTGCCTCCTGACGGGAGCCTTAAAGACTCAAACCCTGTCCATTTGACCCCAAAGCTAACGCTTCTAGCACAACACTGCCCCCTGCTGTCTCTGTCCTCTGGCCTTCTCTGAGTGAGCACTAAACCAAGGAGGCCCTGTGCTGCCTAATCCATCTTATTTTGGGACATGTGCAAGGAGCAGTAGGTGTTCACTGCTATCTACATAGATATCTGTATATATGAGTAACTTCTCCCTGTGACAGAATACCTGACAAAAGCAACTTAAGGAAGGAAGGAAGGGTTTACTTTGGCTTACAGAAGAGTAGAGTCCATTATACCAGGAACTGGAGGGAACTGATTACATTGCCAGGAAGCTGAAAGATACAAATGCTGATGCTCAGGTTATGTGATGGTATTCACATTCAGGGTGAGTCTTCCTCAGTTAAGCTTTTCTGGAAACATCCTCTTTGGCATACCTAGAGGTATATTCCCATGGTGATTCTGAATCTAATCGAGTTGACTCAGGATTAACCATCACATTTTGAATGACCAGAAATATCACCAATGCTAATTTGGAGTTACTTGCAAATTTTGGCAAATAAATGAATTTTCCCATGAGAATTACTTGTACTGGTGGGACATCCCTAGAATTCATTTCATAGTACTCCCTCTCCCCAAATCCCATAGAATGGTTCTTGAGTCTCTTGGGTAATTTGCTCATTTACTCATTTATTCAACAAATGTTTATTAAGCATTTACTATAAGGTATAGTCTGCTTTAGATGATAGTAAATGAGCTAGAGAGTATGGCCTTGCAGTCCTTATATTTGAGCTAGGGCATGAGGAGTAGGTTGAAATTAGAGTGTGTTGTCCAAGGTGAAACCAAGTGTACTGTCCTGCTTTACATTCCCATGATTACTTCCAGAGCAGTTGTCAACATTGTCTTCTCTTTGAGTCTTTCTCCATTGACCTGTGTCAGTGTATGTGTATGTGTTCATAAGTAGGGATACACTTGTGTGCATGTAAGTATGGAGGCCAGAAGTCAGTCTCAGACGTTCCTCAGGCTCTACCCCTCCCCCACACAGGGTCTCTCACCAGCCTAAAACTCTGGCCAGCAAGTGCCAGCGACCTGCCTATCTCTGCCTCCCTAGTGCTGGTATTACAAGCTTGTGCCAACGTGCCTGTTTTTTATACGTGGGTTCTGGGAACCAAAATTAGGTCCTCATGCTTGCAAGACGAGTTCTTTACTGACCAAACCATCTCCCCAACCCACTTGCGGGATATTTTCAGAGTCATACTGACCTGGTTTTTAATTCTGGTTCTGTCATTTACCAAGTAAGCAACTGTGGTCTACATCTTGGACTTTTTAATCTAATTCCTCATTTCAAAATTAGTGATCAGAATTTGACACTGAGTTTCAAGGAAGATGCATACACAGTACCTGTGGTAGTGAGGGATAAATGTTAACAAGGGTAGAAAATCCACCGTTGCATTCATATTGTGTCTGGGCCTGAGCACTTTCAGAACCCTGTATGCGGAACAACAACTTGGCAATCTTTAAGATGTGATTTTAGCCCTGGATATCTGCCTTCTTATGCTTTGTTTACTCAACATTTTTATTTTGCAAAGGAGAATATCTGATTGATTTTTGATCTTCTAAAATGAAAAGACTCCTATTGGGCAGAATTTTGAGTCAAGCCAGGTTCTTGGTTCCTGATCTTCAAGTTCAACCTGTGTATTGTCTTTAGCTGAGGCACTGAGTCCTGATTTGGTCTCTTGTGGCAAAGAAATGGGGTTGGTTTCACATATTATCTGCTTCACAGACAATATATATGAAAGTTCAAATATACTACTTCATAGTAGTATATATGAAAAGGACTCTGGAGACAGTTACATGCCTCCAGAAGATAGCTGAGGGGTGGCAGTCCTGAGGTTTCGTGGCCTTCTTTTCACACACCTGTCTTACATGCTAGCATGTAGCAAAATGGTTGACACATGTCAAACATTCAGTACCATCTTGCTTGTGGTGCTACATCTAGTTGTGTTATGGGATTGCTATTCATATGACAATGTTCTACCACGGCATGAGCTCCTTGACATCAGGGCCCACAGTTTCATCCTTCTATCCTTGATGTATATACAGTACCTGTTGCCCAGGTATCTCATTTGAGGACTTCTTAATTCTTCCTGAAAGGATGGGAGAGTTTGCAGGCTTCCCTCACCACCTCCCTCAGTTTGGGGGACAGAAGACCTGCACATTCTCTACCACTGATCTCCACTCTCAGCCCTCAAGCCAATTCTCACAGGGTGTGTAGGAACGCTTTCTTATTTTATTTCATTTTATTACTTTATTATTTTATTTTATTGTATTGCCTGCATGTAGGTAAGTGCGCCCATGTTGTGCAATGCCCAAGGAGGACAGAAGAGGCTATCGGATCCCCTGAAACTGGAGTTAAGGATAATTGTTAGCTGCCATGTGGTTGCTGGGATTCGAACCCGGGTCTTCTGCAAGAACAGTGTTCTTAACCGCTGAGCCATCTCTCCAGCCCCAGGAATGCTTTCTAGGTAGGCAAAAACTTGAACTAGCATTTCAAGGGGAGATGAGCAAGTGCAAAAGCACAGATGAAAAGGTGATGAAGTTTCCTGAACATGGCTAGTAGATTGAAAAAGCAATAAAAATTAAAGAGTAAGCGATAAAAACTTACTACAGGTGAAAACAACAACAAAAACTGGAATGAGCTTGTCCAGAGGGCCTAGTACAAATGAGTTAACTCTGACTAGCTACTTATAACAGCTTCAAGTTTTGGTGGGGAGAGCAAAGCATCCTCAGGTTGCTGGCAAGGTGTCTGTGTAACAGTTTACTAATGTAGGTTTTTGATTCTGGGGTCTGACAGTAAAGTGAAATCATTTACTTTATCACTAGGTAGGAATCTTCTGTGTCACACACACACACACACACACACACACATACACAC